CAGAGTAACTCAAACGTGGACCATTTACTAATCATGTTCTGTTCTTACCAAAATAATCTCCAAATTTATTAATTTTCCTTCTAATAAATCAAATGAAATTTTTGCCAAAGACCAATATATAAAGACATATACAGAGTTTTCCTCTGCACAACATCCTCAGTAGCCATGGCTAATCTCCAAAGCTCTTCCTTTCTCCTGACTCTCTGTCTCTTCCTTATCACATCTCTCTCTTCCGATTTTGATCCTTCACAAGACTTCTGCGTTGGCGATCTCAAAGCTTCGCCTTCAACCATCAATGGCTTCCCTTGCAAGTCATCAGTCTCCTCTAACGACTTCGTCTTCTCTGGCTTAAAAGGTCCGTTAAACACATCAAACCCTAACGGTGCAACCGTTGCTTCCGGTAACGTCCTAACGTTTCCTGGCCTAAACACGTTAGGGGTATCAATGAACAACGTTGAATTCGCTCCAGGAGGTGTTGGTCAGCCTCATACACACCCGCGTGCGACTGAAGCAGGAGTTGTGATCGAAGGATCGGTTTTTGTAGGGTTCTTGACTACTAACAATACTCTGTTCTCAAAAGTTTTGAGTGCTGGGGAAATGTTCGTTGTACCTAGAGGATTGGTTCATTTTCAGTTTAACGTTGGTAAAGGGAAAGCCCGTTTGATAACCGTTTTTAACAGTCAGCTTCCGGGAGCGGTTATTCTGCCAAATACTCTGTTTGGCTCAAATCCGGCGATCCCAAACGCTGTTTTGACCAAAACGTTTAGGATTGATGATGTAACTGTGAACAATATCAAGTCTAAGTTTGTTGTTTGATTTATGTTTCTGAAATCTTTCTCAATTTGAAGTTGTGACAATAATCGAATATAAGATGCAACTCTTTCTCTTTATTTTAGATTGGTTCTTTATTTAGTAGTTGAGAAGAAGAAAGATAAACTAGAAATGGAAAGGCTGCTCCAAGTAGCTGGGAAATCCCAAGAACAATTCCTTTTCTTTAGCTATAATCGATTCAACGAACCCATTGCTCGAAGATTCTTCTTCGATCTGAGAAGCTGAGGTTGATGTATTAGCCATTGTAGCTACTGCTGCTGGATCAGAGAACTCGTTACCGAAAAAGTTGTCTAGTTCTTGATCAGGATGATTCTGTTGGTTTTGATTGAAGGTTTCTTGGTCAAGAAGAAAGTCAGACCAGGTGAAGTTAACCTCCGAATTCTCCTGAGCTATGGTAGAACAAGTTGAAGAGAACAATGGAGGAGGCGAGTTAGAAGAAGACGAAGAGGCGTACATAAACGTAGACTCGGGTTTGACTTGGTTCGATGACTCGGTCATAAGCTTGATTGCTTGTAAATGAAACATGAGATCTCCTGAATCACCAGGTTGTTGTTGTTGATGAACATCTTCGTTGAGCGAGTGATTACGTCCAAGAGATCCGGTTTGGTTCAAAGGATTAGGGTTTAGGTTTCCACCACCATTGATGTTGCCGTATTCAGCAAGTATGTGAGAAAAGGGACGGTGAGTGACAGGATCTATCCCCATTTCAGACAGTTTCTTCTTCAGTTTTGAGTTCCAAAACATCTTCACTTCTTCTTCTGTCTTTCCTGGTATTTGTTGTGCAATAAGTGGCCATCTAAAATCCACCAAAAGAAAGGAAAGAATCATCAGGATCTACAGAAATATTTTCGAGTAATTCGCGATATATATATATGCACAACCTGCTTCCCATTGCCGCGTGCATCTTGATGATGAGATCTTCTTCTTCAGCAGTGAAGCTTTCTTGGTTAGTTCCTGAATGATCAGTCTTTCTCACTCTGCAACTCTTTCCACATCTCCTAAGTCCTATTAGGTTTCAAAGGCATATATAGATATATCATATTAACATCAAACAATTGAAAGAAAGAGAGAGAGATATGTTACAGAAATGTTTTTGTTAACCTATTTTTTTAGGAGTTGCAGATCCGTTTTTGGACGCAGACGCAAACACAAACTTCTGAGAGACGTTTTCTTCCTCTGTCCAAGGAGTCTTTGGTTTTGAAGAGCAAGATCTCACCATTTTTTACTTAAAAAGAAACAAAATTATAAAGGAAGTTATAAGTATTGGTGAAATATATATAAAGATTTTCTTTACAGAGATGAAGAATGAGGCATGTAATATTAATACAAAGGGAGTGTTGTGGGGGAAGGAAGGGATTAGGCAAAATGCGTTTGAAGGTATAAGAAGCGTGTGTGGCAAGAAAGGCATGAATATATTTTCGTATTTCTTAAATTACATATTTTTCTTGTTAATTCTTTATTAAATTACATATGCATGATTCTTTAACTACATCTTTTTTTTGGGTTTTATTCTTTAACTACATCTATAACTATTAAGTATTATTTCCCTTTTCCTTATTTTGCCACATTTATGGTTCCAATCCAAGTTCTTTATCATCTCATTAGACTTTTTTCAATGTTTCCTACTAAAATTTAAAACAACTTTTAAATAAAATTGACCAAGACTATCTTTTATGGCTTTTCAAAGAAAAATAAAAAACCCATCTTTTAGTGATTGACATAAATAAGAGTAATAATAGAACATATATATTTTACTTGTTCTAGTGTGAAAGGAAACGACTTGAATTTTCTGTGATAATAAGCACAAGTTTGTGTCTATTATAAAACCAATAACTATTCGTGAGACAAATGATATAATGAATATATGTTGTATGTACATTTGGAGGCCCATCCCATCATCATGTACATGCGGGAAAAGAAGTTGCATTAAACCTAAAATCCAAAATTTTAAATTCGATGATAATTTCTTGGGCTTTGAAGCTCACACAATATGACATGTGACAAAGCAACAACAGTTTCACATCCGTTTTACAGGGTTTTGCTCCATGATTTGGACCAATCACATTCAGCTAAGTCTCAAAGCTGAGTCGTTTTACCAAAATCTAAGAGACCTTGACCATGTTCTTGTGGCTAATACAAAAGTTAGAGAAAATTAATTGTACACTAATAATAATTCCATAATAACATTAAACAGGCTCTTAGGAATCTCTGGTTCACCCTCTTCATTGTTTCTTCTTTTTTTTCAGGGTAAGAAAAAAATGACTAACCTAATCTACACATACCTCTTCGGCTTCAGCAACATTCCCCTCTTCACTTATCAGCCGAATTTGCCTGAATAACTTTAAAAACTACAACAAGGCAGATAGATATGCTTCAATCATGAAATAAAGCCGTCTCTTGCCGTTTTAACTCATCTCTGGAAGAAGGGAGGTTTTTGCCAGAAATAACTCGTGAAAATCTTGCTTATCTTACAATGGTGATTGTCCAGAGGAAGCTTGAAGGAGGCAAAGAGAGGTGACTCTCTTTTGCTTATGAATTGTCTGTGTTATCATCACCCTTCAATACTGTACTTGGACCATCATCAAAACCAGAGACAGGGGCAAGCTCGTTTAGGTCGAGGTAACGCCTTTTGCCTACCACACCATCAGCTTCTTCTTCTTGGTCTGTGACGTTTAGTTTGTTAAGTTGACTATTCTCCTGACCATTTGTTCTTGTCTCTGCATTGTTGTCATTGACCTCTCTGGCCACTTCTTCTACTTCTTCACCAGATTCTGTATCTGGGTCATTTGCATTTTCTTCAGAGTCTTGACTTCCCATTGTGAAGTTCCCATTCCCTAATTCATCAGAATGTTCATCCGGCTCAACCAGTCGCTTACGTTTACCCAATCCTGGTCCCTCTTTGTCTGATTCTGAGAGCTCATATTGTTGGTAATCGACTCTTGTTGCTCTTTTACTGCGTCTCAGGCCTGGCCGGAAATCATTTGACCTTGATCTTAACTTAGTTTCTCTCCGTGGCATTTTCTTAACCCTCCGGGGTACATCACTGTCTTCTTCACTGGCACTTAGTGAA